CCAGCTCTAAGTCTGTGCAGGTAAAGCCTCTGTGGGAATCTGGGGATGGTTTTGGGGCTGGATCTGGCCACGTGGCCACTTCTGGATCACGATCCCTCCTTGAACCCTAAAAGCAGGTGGGATGGAGGCACCTCCAGCACCTTCCTCCTGCCAGTCTGCAGGTGATTTTTGCCATGTTAGAGCAGAGGCAGCTCAGGGATGTGTCTGGGCAGCATCCAGGCAGGATCCAGCCAGAGCCATGGCCTCCCACCTGCTGTACTAATCCTCATCCTTCTCCTTGGAATTTAAGCCCAGAATAAGCTGGAGCTCAGGCCGTGCTTAAGGTGGGGATCTGAGCAGCTGGGGTGAGCTGGTGATGAATACTTGAAACCCAGCGTAGATTAAAGCAGCCAGTTCCCACTTCAAACCAGTTCATCCCATTTCTGGGAGGTTGGGTTGACCCCAGGTGAGTGTTGGGGTGTCTGGGAAGGATTCGGGCAGCCCCAAGAGGCGGAGCAGGTGAATGAACCCCAAAGCAAGCCAATCATTAACCTGCGGCAGGAGGCAGCAGGGCTTTTCTCAGCACTCCCCCTGCCGCAGGCAGACTTTACCCAAGCCCGTGCCTTCCGTGCAGCCAATTAGGCAATCATTAACGAGCTCTCTTCTTGGAACTGAGACTCCTGAGGTTACTGGGAGGCTACGTGCCCTGGCAGAGTCCAAAACATTCCCGTTGCCTCGGGGTTAGTCGGGTGTTCGAGGAGTGAGCGCTGGGGCGGTTCGGTGGCAGGTCGGGTGAATTTGGGGGATGGATGCGGTGGTTTAGGGAGAAAGGAAGGGCTGAGGCCAGGCCGTGGTGTCTGCCAGGCTCCCCCGGTACCAGGCAGCCAAGCTGCCCCCTCCCAGCCAAACGCAGCCTCGTTAGCCCTCCTTTGTGCCACCGATGGGCTCGTTTACCAAACGCACCAGGGGAAGCCGCCCCTCTGCCCCCAGCGAGGCTCCCCGAGAGCAGCAGTGACTGCACCCGTCCCCTTCCCCAGCCTCCAGCAGGACGTGCCCAGCCTGGAGACGCTGGAACAGGAGCTGGCCTGGATGAAGGAGACGCTGTCCCAGCTGGGCTCCCCCGTGGTGCTCTGCCACAACGACCTGCTCTGCAAGAACATCATCTACGACAGGACGCGAGGTCTGTGGCGGCAGCTCCGTGCCCAGCGAGGGGTCTGTCCCTCGCCCACCCCCCCCCGGGGGCTGTCACCTCCGTCCCCCCCCTCACAGCCCCTGTCTGTGCCCCCACAGAGCACGTTCGCTTCATAGACTACGAGTACACCGGGTACAACTACCAGGCTTTTGATATCGGGAACCACTTCAACGAGTTTGCAGGTGAGCTGAGCTCCTCTCCCTGCACCAAAGGTTCTCCCAGCACTGGCAGTGGCTGTCCTGGGGTCTCCCCATCCATGGGGATGGAGGAGGGAGTTGTATCCCCCGTTCCGTGGTGGGAAATGAGATCTCCCCATCTCTGGGGGTGGAGGGGGGAGTTGTACCCCCAGTCCCGTGGTGGGAAATGGGGATGCCCATGGTTAGAGTGATGTGTGAGGGAGGGTGGGTGTCTCTGCTGGTGCTGGGCATCTGGATACATCTGGAATGCAATTCCTCCATGAGCCTGGCTCTTGACCATAAGTCTGGGTGGTGCCTTGAACCAGCAGTCCATCCTTGGTCTGTGCACACCTGGGGTTTGCTCACCTGGTTGTGCATGACAAGAGCCCCGTGGCCACATCACTTGGCCGTGGAGAGTCCCTCCCTGTCACCCCCGTGCCCCCACTGACCCCCCTCCCCTCTCAGGTGTGAAGGAGGTGGATTATGGCCTCTACCCCAGCAAGGAGACCCAGCTGCAGTGGCTGCACTCCTACCTGCAGGCCTACAAACAGCTCACCCAGGGGGACCCAGGCGGCTCTGGGGTGTCCAAGGAGGAGCTGGAGACTCTCTATGTGCAAGTGAACAAGTTTTCCTTGGTGAGTGGTGGAGGTGGGAAGGAACCCAGGAACGAGGGGTGAAAATGCAGCCCAGGGGATGGGGTTTTCTCTGCTCTTGGGCTTGCAGCTCACCTGGGGAGGATGGGGGTGGAGGTACCAGCCTGGGAGTTTGAGGGCACACTGCCCCAAAGAGCCTGGCAGCACCTCAGAGGCACTGAGCCCCTGGGAAAGGTCACAGACAGCATTGGCTGCCTGCAGCCCCACCGACGTGTGCCAAGGGACAATGTGCCTCTGATAGCCATGGCCTTGGACATCCCTTCAGAGAGGCCAGACATGAGGAAATCCTCTTTGGTAATTGCCATGGGCAGTCTGAGCCAATTTTCTGGAAACTTAGGGCAAAATGTCATCTGGTTTCCTGGCGGGAGGGACATTCCTGCAAGCGCAGGGGCTGGTACCCTGAGCACGCTGTGTTCAGCATCTTTCCTGCTGCCATCCCTCCCTCCAGCTGGGACCAGCCTCTGGAGGGTACAAAAATACAGGTGTGGGCCAGCCCCCCCCACCCCTCCTGTCATCACAGCAGTGGGAATTCTGGGGCTGGGCCAGGAGAGGCACGAGAAACTCATCTCCGTGCCCGCTCCTAATCCTTGCTTTGTCTGCTGCAGGCATCCCATTTCCTCTGGGCATGCTGGGGCCTGATCCAGGCTAAATACTCTACCATAGACTTTAATTTCTTAAGGTGAGTGCACCCCGTTTGCTCTCAGCACAGCTCGGTGTTAAACCTCTGGAGCCAGAGGATCCCGGTGGTCCCTCCGTGCCACGGCCGGGGGACACGAGGCTGGGGGGGACAAAGCCCTTCAGGTGTGTCCCTCTCTCTCTTGGCAGATATGCAAAGTTAAGGTTTAAACAGTACTTCAAGATGAAGCCGGTGGTCACAGCCCTGCAGGTCTCCAAATAGCCCCACTGGCTCCGAGCCCCCGAGCTCTTCCGTCCTCGCTGCGTCCACGGCCCCCGCATCCCCCTCGCCCTTCCCCACCCTGCCAGGGGTGAGGGCAGGTCCTGACGGTGGGCAGGGGGAGGAGAGGAGCTCTGACCCGGCCACCGACCAAAGGGGACCCTGGACATGCCCGAGACTGGACCATGAGATGCTGGAGAGGCCCCACGGCCCCGGAGAGGCCGCTGCCCGCACGAGGCAGCCCCACCATCGCCTTAACGCCGAGCCCCGCTCGGCCCCGTGCCCGGCACGTCCTGCTGGCACTGCTGCTGCTTGGCCTGGCACCCGGTTTGCTCCCTCTGTGCTGTCCCTGAGGGGCAAAACGGGTCCCTCCTGTCCGCTCAGGAGCCCCCAGAGCTGCCCAGTCACTTTGCTGCCCGGCGCTCACGGTGTGCCCGTCGCCTTTGCTGTGCTGTCCATCCTCTCGTGCCCTGGGTGCCACTGGGGCTCCCACTCCCAAACCAGCACCTTCCCTGGGTCCGTATTGATCCCAGGCATGGGACCCTTTTCCATGAGGGGTGGGAGCTGCTGTGCTCCAGCTCGGGTGGTGCGAAGGAGGAAGGGGCAGAGCCAACCGTGAGCCACGTGGGTTTGGGGCCAGGGGGCTGCTGTGGTGGGCCCTGGGTGTCTGCACCCCCTGCACTGTGCTCAGTCCAGGGCTGGCCCTGCCTGTCCCCACAGCCATGGTGTCCCACACCCCCATTGGGTTCATGACTTCCCCATAGCATCCTGTGCTTCCAGAGCAGGGGGCTCCCAGCTCTGCCTTCCCCGACTCCCCCAGGGCTGGGGGTGTTGGTCCTGCCCCTCCACCCTCCCTGTGCTCCTCTCTGGGCTGTGTCCCTGAGTGGGGCCCCCTGGGAGGAGGTTGGGCAGAGCTGACCTGCTCTTGGAGCCGGGCACAGCTTCCCCCCCTCAGCACTCGGCTGCTCCCCCACCACAGGCTGTGTGAGGGCTGGCCTGGCCTGCTGAGCACTGTCCAGCTCATCACAGTGGTTGTGCATCACCTGGGGGTGGAATGGAGTCCCTCTGCACCCGCCTTGGCTGGTGGCTGTCCCCTCCCTATGGGCACAGGAACCTCCCCCAGCAAGAACCAGGACTGTTGTTGCATCTGTGTTTGTTTCGGTGCAAAATAAAAGCTGCTGGTAGCTGAAAATTGGGGATGGTGGATCTGGGGGGGGGGGAGGGGGGGAGATTGTGCATCCCTGGGGCTTGGGGGTGCTCCTGACCCTTCTGCAGCTGGAGGTGCCCCTTGCTGGAGGACTCCCCGTTCAGCCCTCAACCCCAAACTGGTAAAGTCCAGGCCCAGATCTCTGCTCCAAAAAGTGATCTTTATTGTGCCAGGGGACTGGGGGACGATTGTAAACAGGTATGTGAAATATACAGGTTAAGTTACTCATCGTCTTATTAACAAAATAAAGCTCTATCTATATTTACAATCTTTAAAAAAAAAAAATAAATGGAAGAGACAGGAAAAGCTGCAGCTGTGGGACACATCTGCTTCCAGTCCCTCTGCAGCACAGCCCATCCTAACCTGGGAGCTGGGGCTCCTTCCCCAAGGAACCCTTCCCCGGGGACCCCAGCACAGGGAGGGGGAATAAATAAAGCACTGGCAAAGGGCAAGAGAGGACAGAGGTGTTTGCTGGGCAGGTGAGGGTGCTCCTTGGATAAAGGATGTCCCAACGGCAGAGGAGCAGCAGGGCCCTGATGCTGCAAAGTTTCTGCTCCAGACCCCCACCCTGGGGCTGGGGACAGGGGTCTGCTGCAACCCTCCCCTTTTCAGGGCGGGTTCCCCCCCCATCTGCTGCAGCCTGGAGCCCGGGGGGACACGGCTGCTTCTGTGTCCCCAGCTGGGTCCCCTCGGTGCCAGGCTGGAGTCAGAGATGGAGACTGTTCTGGCTGTGGCCACAGGGAGGAGCACGGACCCTGTGCAGAGGGACAGTGTGAGTGTACAGGCAGACTGCACACACAGCCAGACACTGCACACACAGCCAGACTGCACACACAGACACTGTGCATGCACACAGACTGCACACACACTCGGTATGTGCAGAGACAGACACTGCACACACAGACTGTGCACACACACACACACACACACACACACACAGATGCTGTGTGTGCACGCCTGGACACACGCCCAAACACCACGTGTGCACACCCAGGCACTGCACATGCACATCTGGACACTGTTCATGCACACCCAGGCACTGCACATGCACATCTGGACACTGTTCATGCACACCCAGACACTGCACACACACCTGGACCCCTTGAACTCACCCCTGGGCCCCTCCCCTGCACAGCGACCCCTCACCCCAAACACCCCCGGAACGGGCTCTGACTGGGACAAGGTAATTTTTTATGATTATTACTTTTTCTTTTTTTCTCTTGGCCGTTGTTTCCCCTCCCTCTGTGGTCTCACCGTGCAGGTCTCAGGTGCAGCCTCTGGGAGGTGCCCAGGGATGGACGGGCAGGGCCCCCCCACAGCCAGGGCAGGGGCCGGGGGCTGGCACAGCAGGAACAGCCCCTGCTTTATTTACAAAGTGGGCCAGAGTTGTCAGGAGCACAAAGGGCTCCCAGGAGCCCTGGCTGGAGCTCCGGCCAGGCGAGGGCTAAAAATGGCTCTGTGGGAATTTGCTGGCAGGCTCAAAAGACCAAGCGGGAACCGCGGCGGGGAGGTCAGGCCGGGCTGAGCGAGGGACAAGCGTGTCCCCATCCCGTGTCCACATCCCCTGTCCCAGCAGTGGGCTGGCACCTGCTGCAGGTGAGGCTCCCTGTGAGACCACAGGCTCTGGAGGGCTGGGAGATGCTCTGGAGTGTCTCCTGCAGCCTGACACCCTCAGGTCCCCTCCGGGGGTGACAACGCAGCAGCCGTGGCACCCACATCGGCAAGCGGGGTGGCCTCAGCTCCCCATGCCGCTGGGGCAAGGCCTAGCCAGCCCTCACCACCTTGCCAGTGCCACCAGCACATCCCAACCACAGCCCCACCGCTCACCACCACCCAAATTTGAGTGCCCGCCTTCACGGCACCCGCTTGCGGGCGGGCAGCGACGCTCCCTTCGGCCGAGCCCCATCCCAGCAGGAGACGCTGGGACCTCCTCGGTGGTGCCAGCCAGCCCTGCCACCCCCCCCGAGCGCCCCCCGTGCCCCCCTCAGTCCGTCAGCACCACCAGCTCCCCGTCGCTCTTGTCGTCGCCCTCCGAGTCCTCCTCCTCGCTGTAGCGGTACATGTCCCCGTCGGCCACCGAGTGCCCGTCGTCCCCACCGTCCTCGTCCTTGAGGCTGCGGGTGTTGACGATGACGGGCATGTTGGGGTCCACGCTGCGGGGCAGGTAGTGCTCCATCAGGGGGGGCGGCAGCTGGACCCCCACGGGCCGCGGGTACAGCACGTCCGAGGAGCCGGGGGGCACCTGGCTGCCCTGGGGCCTGCGGGACAGGGGGGTGCAAATCACTGACCGGGGCGTGGAGGGGTCCCACCCCTTCCCTCTGCCTCCCGGGGTACCCACCCCAGGGGTGCCAGGTGGGTGCTTACCCCCTGAGCATCAGGAGAACACCCACCCCATCAGTGCCAGGGGGGCACCCACCCCATGGACACCCCAGTGAGCCCCCTGGGGGGTCTATGGGGTGCGTTACCCTATCCAGCATCCCTGCCTGGTGAGGGGTCGTTACCCTATCACATCTCCCTGCCTGGTAAGGAGTCATTGCCTGGTGAGGGGTCATTACCCTGTAAGTACCCCTCCTGTTAAGGGGTTCTTACTCTATCCAATATCCCTGCCTGGTAAGGGGTATATTTCCCTATAAGTCTCCCTCCCTGCTGAGGGGTCCCTACCCCATCACGTAGCCCTGCCTGGTGAGGGGTCCTTACCCCACAAACCCCCCTCCCTGCTGAGGGTCCCTACCCCATCACGTAGCCCTGCCTGGCGTCCTGCCGCCGGTTCCTCATCAGCGCCTTGTACTCGCCCACGCGCAGCCGCTTCCCCTCCACGATGCAGGTCCGTTTGGGCCGGGGCTTGTACTTGTAGTCGGGGTATTTCTCCAGGTGCTGCCGGCTCAGCCGCGCCTGCTCCTCGTAGTACGGCTGCTTCTCCTGGTTGGACATGGATTTCCAGCGGGAACCTGCGTGGAGGGAAGTGGAGCACCCTTAACGCCCTGCCCGAGGGATGGGACCCCGGCTCCCGGCTGGGATGGACCCGCCACAGCACTAATTAATTAATGCCAGTCATTGGTACCACTCCCCGTGTGCAAACAGCACCTGGATTTACAGCCAGTGGGAGCCTCGGGCCACAGTCAGCCCTCCAGGAACACTGGAACAGTGTTCAACAACCCTGACCTTCCCCAGGGATTGATCCCCTCGGCTCAGCACCTGGGAGGCTGGAGCTGGACCAGCTTGGGAGGGAGCTGGAGGAGCTGCGAGAGCCGCAACATCCTTGGAGACGCTCAAGAGTCAGCAGGGCACAGCCTTGAGCATCCTGATGGGACTCAGGAGTCCTGTTGGGCTGGAGATGTCCAGGGAACAACTCCCAGTCATCTAAATCTTGTGTCCATCCCCCCGTGGGGGTGCAGAGGGGGTCCTGCCCCAGTCCCCCAGCACTCACCCAGGATCTTGCTGATGCTGGAGTTGTGCATGTCCGGGAAGGCCTGCAGGATCTTCCTCCTCTCGTCCTTGGCCCACACCATGAAGGCGTTCATGGGCCGCTTGATGTGGTTGTTGTTCCTGGACTCGGGGAAGTGCCGGGAGCCTGCGAGGGAGACCCCGGATGAGGTCGGGGCTCAGAGGAAGGAGCCTGTGCGGGGTCCCCGCGGTGCTCTGGGCCGTCCTTACCGTCCATCTCACAGGTCAGCAGCGCCTCGTCCAGCCGGTGGGCAGGGGGCTCCTCCATCCGCTCCTTCACCGGGGAGGAATCGATCCCGACGTGCTCCTGCGGGACAGTGCGGTCAGGGAGCAGCTCCCAGCCAGGGAACCTGCCCATGGATGGACCCCAGTGACAGCAGGACTGGAGAGGGGGCGGTGGCCACCCCTCGGGTGACCCTCACCTTGCGGTAGGGGTTGCCCAGCGACCCCTCCATGGCTGCGCCGTGGCCGTGCAGCAGCTGCCGCGCGTCGTGGATGGCTTTGGTGATGGCATCGCCTTCGCCCAGGAACCCTGGCAGGACACCGGCACGGGCACCCATCAGCACCAGCACCCGCTCCTCCAAACTGCCCCCAGAGCACCCATCCCACCCCGGCTGTCACCGCCGTGCCCCGAGGGGTGGCACGGAGCAGCCACCCAGGTCACCCCGGGGAGGAGGTGCCCCTGGGAGCAGGGGGGTCACTTGTCCCCAAAGGTGATCAGGGGAGGGCACAGGAGCACCCATCGGTGAACCCACCCAGAGGCAGGTTGGACGGGCTGGTCTGCAGGTCCCTGGTGGCCCCGTGGCTCGGCGTGAGGGACTGGCAGCCGCCCATCTTCAAACTGGGCGAACTGGAGGCACTGGGGAGGTCGGAACCTTTGGGTTTGGCCGTCAGGTTCAGCGGCTGCGAGGTCTCCTGTGGCAGAGGAGGGGGTGGGGGTGAAGCACAGCCCCCAAACCCCCCAGCCCGGGGTGTGGAGGTGCTTTGGGGCTGTACCTGCATCTGGAGGTGGCCCGGGCCGGCGGGTCTCTTCAGCGTGGGAGGAGGGGGGCTGTGCAGCAGCTGCACCGGGTAATCCACTGTGGGGAGCAGAGGGACAGGGTTGGGGGGTGAGGGAGGTGGGCTCGAGGTCGAGGCCACCCCGCAGGGCTGGGGCAGCCCCAGGGGACCCCTCTCACCTGGTTTGCAGGGGATGGGCTGGATGGGCAGTGCCAGCTGGGAGTCGGGGGTGACGGGGAGGGGCTGGTGGCTGGGGGTGAAGGCAGGAATCATCACGTAGGGCATGTTGACCTGCTGGAGGGGAGAGGAGCAGAGAGACCAGAGAACCGCTGTGGGACACTGCAGGAGGGTGATGGCCCCTCGCCGGGACCCAGGAGGGGACATAAGGACGTGAGGAGGCTGCAATCCTCCGGCACGGGAAGGGGGACACGGGGAAGGGGACGTGGGGAGGTGTCCCCTGCCTTTACCTGGATCTGCTGCTGTAACAGGTTGATTTTGTGCTGCTGCTGGATGAGCTGCTGCTGCTGCTTGGCGATCTGGTGGAGGGGACAGTGGGGGTCAGTGACAGCAATGGCACTGCTGAGCTGGGCTCCAGCCCAGGACGAGACACCCATCACCACCAAAACAGAGACAAGGGGTCTGTGGAGGGTCCAAGGGCTGTGGGGAGGGCAGGAGGAGGGGCTGAGCTGCCCCTGGGCCACCTCGAGGGGCACAGGGAGAGAAGTGGGCTGGGAGGGATGTGTCCCCCCACCCTGAGGTGTGACAGGGGTGTTCCCCTGCCCTCAGCACTGCACAGGCCATGGGAGAAGAAAAATACGTGTCCAAGGAGCACAGTGGGCACAGTCAGGAAGAAGCCAGTGTGGTTTAATTATTTTAAGGAGCACAATTCCCATCTCCTCTGACCCTTGTCCTTTGGGATGGGCACAGAAAACAGGAGGGTTTCTGGGCAGGCAGAAATCCCACTGCCCCAAGGCCAAAGCCACCCCCCAGCATTCCCAGGGGGGTCTAATGGTCCTTGTCCTGGTCCTGCACCCACATCCAGTGGATCCCAAAGGGATCCCTGAAGGGATGGGTGGTCCCCCGAGCCCACCTGCTCTTGCTGCTGCCGCGCCAGCTCCATCTGCTGCTGCTGCTTCTCGAAGAGCATCGTGGCCATGTTCTTCTGCTCCGAGTGGGCCGTCAGCAGCTGGTCCCGCAGCGTGGACAGCTGGTTGATCATGACAAGGAGCTGGAGCTCCTTCTCTGCCAGGCTCTCCTGGGTTCCTGGGAAAGAGCAAGTGGCTGAGATTCGGGGATTGCGGAGGGCGAAGGGTGTCGGCAGCACCGTTGGGTGAGAAGGGCCCCATGTGGTTTGATTGTTTAAGGGGTGCAATTCCCATCTCCTTTCAACCCTCGTCCTGCCAGCACCAAGGAGAAAGATGGGGGCTCTTTGGGGTGGGCACAGAAAACAGGGGGGTTTCTGGGCAGGCAGAGAAGTCCCACTGCCCCTGATTCCACCACAGTAGGAGACGTGGCCAGGAAAGGTCTAATGAGTGAGGGGCAGAAAGATCATGTGCTGAACCACCCCCTCTGTGCACTCAGAGGCGAGTTACCACCAGAAATGCTCACCCCAAAAATATATAAAATTAAAAACGACCAAACCCACACGAAATACGGACGTTTCCCCTCCTGCTAAGGTGGGAAATGCTGTGTCTCCAGTCCAGGCACGGGGCGCAGGAGGGAGGTGGTGCAGGTGGGTGGCTGGGGACAGACCTCACCTTTCACTTCCTTGGACTCGGCGGAGTTTCGGCCCAGCAGCCGCTCCTTCCAGTCACTGGACAGCAACTTCTCGATGGTTGGCATCACTGTCCGTGTTGGCAGAGCAGGGTTGGGGGAGCAGGGAGAGGGAGAGGAGAAGGACAACCAGGTGAGCACAGCCCACGGCTCTGAATGACAGGGGGTGGTTCCTCTCACCCCGCACTTTTGGAAAAATACCAGGAAGCCTGAAGGGAGCCGGGAGGGGACCCCAAGAGGCCACTCATGAACCTTTCTTACCCTCCTTCAGGTTCCTGTTGAAGTCCAGCTTGTCCTGGCCGCTGCCGGCGGGCTCGAAGGCGGAGCGCCGGGGCTCGGGCACATCCCCGGCGGGAGAGCGGGACTCCTGCGGCACACACAGCTCGCTGGGCACTGCTCCCACGGACAGGGGCATCCCCAGCTGTCCAGGCAGGAGGTTCTGGGCCGCTGGGATGCTCAGAGCCAGCCCGGCTCGAACACACTCTACCAGGCACATTCCCCCTGCCCGGGTTGAGAGCAGCGCTGCTCTCCGCACCCTAACGACTTGTTTGCTGGAGTTTTCTACAATTTATTCAGCCTGTCCAGCTCCTCTGAGCTCTTTTCCCCTCAGAAGGCACCACAGGGAGTGGGAGAGCTGAGGCTGCTGGTCAGGGGCAGGGAAAACCCGAGAGCAATGCAAAAGGGAGGCTGAAGGGATGAAGCACATCTGGAGGTGGGTGGGGGGGATCCACGTTAAAGGTGAAATGCTCAAACCCCAGCGCTGACCAAGAGCATCAATAGCAGCCAGAAAAGCTTTGGGGGAGCTTCAGGTTTCAGCTTGGATTCCTCAGGATGAGGAATAACTGCCCAGGGAAACAGCCCCCCCCTCTGCCAGGGGATGGAGCCCACCTCCAGAGCAGAGATGCCCACAGGGCTGTGCCAGCCCTGCGGGACCCCAGCCAGGACCCTGTTTGTCACAGCCATGGGACCCACCTGTGGCAGGGCCTGGGTGTCAGTGCTGTCCCTCGGTGGTGGCCCTGGGGGGTCGTTGGGACAGGGCTCAGCACTGGGGGCAGCCCCTGGAGGGGACTCGTAACCACCCTCCTTCTTCTCCTCCGTCTTGATGGTGCAGTTCACCATGCTGCCCGCTCCATCCAGCTCCAGGTGGGGGGAAACAGGGCTCCTCATGGACATCCTGCGGGGTGACAGGGCCATCAGCAGAGCCAGGGGCACCCCTGGACATGGACACCCCTTTCCCAGCCTGGCCCCACGCTGGGGTGCCCCACAGTGCTGCTTTTCCACCCACAGCAGTCCTGCTTTTTGCCACCCACAGCTGAGCTCTTGTTCCTGAAGCTTCCCAAGCTCAGGTTTTTGCAGATTTGGGGCCCAAAACCCAGGGATAAAACCAAAGCCTTCACACTTTGGGCTGTGAAGGGAGTGGAGCAACAAATCCCCAAAGAGGAGAACCCGGAGGTCCAGGACTGAGGGATAACAGGAGCACGTGCCTTCGTGCTTCACTCAGCAGCTGGCATGGGGCAACCCAAGGCTCACCATGGCAGAGACCTGTGCCAGACCCGCTCCAGCACCCCAGGGGTGCCCGGGTTCCCCCTGCCTGAACCAGGAGCCGTGCCTAGAAAGCCAGTGGGACAGCGGGCAGGTTTCCCGCTCCGACGGGAAATGGAAATCCTGGTCCTGCTGAACAATGGCTGGGACGGCCACCAGAGCTGCTCCTCCGGGAGTCCCCGGCACAGCACGGAGCTGGGACCGGCTGAGCCCCGGCCAGGGTAAGGGGCTGGGCCTGGGACTGCTCTCCCTGACCTCCCCAGCACGGCCGTGGGTGCCAATCCAACTCCTGGTGCTGCCCGATGGGCACTGCCGAGGTGATGGAGGGGTGTTATGGGGGGTGATGTGACACCCCAGGGGACCCCAAGCACAACCAGAGCTGGTATTCAGTGGGGTCTGGCCCAAAAAATGTGCCACAGTTCCTTGCAAAGCCCCAGCTCTCTGGACCCTCCGGGGCTGTCGGGGTGGTATCCAAGAGTGAGTGCCAGGCACGCCGGGACCAGCCCTGTGCACGGGGCAGTGCCCACGTGAATCTGCCTTCTCGGGGCCACCAACCCTCACACCACACAGCAAGAATGGGAACAAGCACTACCCTCCCAAAGCTCTCCTTTCAGGCAGGAATAATGGGAAAAGGAGGCTGTTAAGGAAGGGATTTACATCGGCCACTGCCAGGAGCTGGGCCGTGGGACCACAGGGGCTGCCGAGGTGGGATGGGGATGGCATCCTGCCTGGGGGCTGGCACCCTAAAACCAGGACCCTCTCGCCTCCCCACAGCCCCTGGATGATCAGGAGACCCTGAACCCGGTTTGGGGGTGCAAACTGGGATGGAGGGGGGCTGAGCCGGGCTCAGGGCAGCAATTACATAACAAACAAAGCCCAGCTCAAGCTGCGAATTAATCAAACCGCTGAAAATAAAACCTTCCTCTCAGGAACTTCAAACAAAAGAAATGAAAACAACAAGGCCGGCTGGGTAATGAAAAGCCAGGGCTGTGAATAGGGGACAAAAGGAAGTGGAACAATGGGGTGTTGGACAAAAGCAATAAAGTAAAGGGAAGTGTGACAGCTCCACAATAGGGCACTGTGCGCGCCAGCCTTTCTGATCTTAGCGGGGCTTTTTTTAATCTCAGTTCCCTTGCCCTCCGCTGAACAAACCTCTGCCGGCCCCGGGGGCTTCCTCCGGCCCGGCATGGCCCGGGGGCTGCCGCATCCTGCGGCACCGCCCGCGCCGCCCCTTCCTGCCCCCGGCCCACCTCGGGCCCCCAAAACCCACCGCCCGCCCCGGCAGGGACCGGGCACGGCACGAGGTGGTGGCAGGCGGCCAGCGGGGAGCTGTGCCCAGGGTGGGATTTGTCTCAGGAGGCTGCTCTGGATGTGCTACAGGTGGGGAAAACCAGGTGTGGCTGCAGCATCTCGCCCTGGGGGCTTTCCTGCCTCGGACCCTCAGGTGTGAGAGTGCAGCCGGTCCCTCCCTCCAGGCTTGTTGGGGGTTTTAAAGGCAAAAATCCCTGTTCACCGCATCCCTGCCCTCCCTCCCGGGGCTGGGATGCTGCCCGAGCAAAGGGGCAGCAGCATCAGTACCACAGCACCGATACCTTCGGTTTGGGACACGCACAGAGCCCCGTCCCACCCTCCAGCAGGTCACATTCCCACTGTGTTTAACCTCCCGGTGCCACTGGAAGTTTACTCTTAAAATGGGGCCAGTGCTTTAATAGGGCCCTGTTTGAAAGAGGCCTCATTGAGGATTTATTATACGGTCTGTTGAACAGAAAAAAAAAAGGGAAAAAGGAGAAAATGCCCCGTTATCTTGTTCCAGGCTGGTGCCTGTGCCCAGGGCTCAGGTGTGGGCTCCGGGGCTGCCTGGGGCACACAAAAGGGAGGGAACAATCGCCTTGGCACCAGGACTAAAAACAGAATATCCTCACCTTTAATGTTCCCCATTTAATGCGGGGTGGAGGGGAAGGGAAGGAATGGAATTGGGATGTGAAGGACCAGCCTGGAGGACCCGAACAGCCCCACTCAGGAGCCAAGAGTCCTCAGGGATGGACCCACTGGGCTGCTTCCTCCCCACACAGTGCCTTGGGGGGCTGCACTGCCCACCTTGCCTCCAAATTCCAGCCCAGCAAATCCAAGATTTTCGGGAGGGCAACAGCCTTTCTCTCCCCATTCGTACCCCTGAACAGCACGTCCTGCAATTCTCCGGGTGGCCGAGCCACCCTTCCTGCCTGCCAGCCAGCCCTGATCCTATCGGCCCCGTTTGTGTGGAGCAGAACAGCTCCAAAGGCCGGGGGGGGAACGAGGTGCCAGCAAACCCCCACCCTGCCCAGGCACGGCAGGACTGGGATAACTGGCTGGGGGAGCTGGGCTGCCCAGATTTTGGGGATTTTTGCCCTCACCTGCCCATCAGGTTGACCAGGCTCTTGGGGTTTTTGCTGTCCTCCCTCCCAGTTACAGCACAAAGTTCTCAGTTCGTGGGTTACGGCGACTCTTCCCTTCAGGAGCCCAGTGTGGTTCCCAACATCATCCCAAAAAAAACCCCAAAACCCCCACCCATCCCAGCAGCCCCTGGCCCAGGTAACCAACCCAGCCAGGGGCAAACACAGGCCAAAAGCCCGAGGAGGAAACGCCAGAGGAGCCAAGACATCAACACTGGCAGCGCTCACACATCGGCCACGTGCAGCACCCGCGGCCCCCGACCCCCGGGAGAGGGGGCAGAGGAAAAAATAAGACACACACGGGACGTTTTCTTCTTCCAAGCAGGACCCGAGGAATCCCGGCCGGCCACCGGCACAGACAATGGCCCTTCTCCTGCCAGACAAACGGGCTGCTTTCCTGCCAGACTTGGAATGTCCTTTCGGGGCCCTTTCCAAGCGTTTCCGCCCGGCGTCCCTTCACACATAAAAGAATGGATGGTTTCCTCCCCCATCCCCGGGCAGGGATGGCCAGGGATGGCCGAGGCCACTGTCCCTGCCAGGGGGAAGTTCACGGGGCTGCCATCCCTCCCCAGGGAGGCAGAGCATCCCACCATCCATCCACGGGGGACTTGGACCACACAGTGTCAGACGCCGGGGTTGCTTCTGAAAGAGCAGGTTTTAAACCCAAAAGGCATCAGGGTGCTGAGCATTTTCAGCTCCAGCAATGCCACCACCATGTGAGAGCCACATCTCCTCGTGTCCCGGACGGACACGTGTTCCCTGGCAGGGCTGTGTCCCCACCCTGCTGCTGCCCCACAAACCAGGGCGCTGCGGCGGCGGCGGAAACGCTCTGAATTTTGGGGGCCGGCGCTCTCCCCATCCCCAGATGTTCACAACATCTCACCTGCCCACGGCGCTCCCACGGAAAGCCACAACCTCCCTCTGCCCAGAGGCTGCCGAGAGCTCAGGGGGCCGGAAAAGCTGCAAAACCTGCGCTGAGAGGGGAGACCTTTGGTGGGCAGGGGGGGATTTTGGGGAGGGTGATGCCCCAAGGGGCAGAGGGGTAGTGGGAAGTGCCCATGTGAACTGCCTGGCATGTCCTGCCCACCAGTATCCAATGGATAATCACCACCCCAGAGAGACCCCAACTGCCCCTCTCCACCCCAGTGAGACCTGGGGTCCTGTGGGAAAAGCTCTGGCGTGAGCAGGGGCTGGGATTTCCCTCCGTCCACACAAAACAGACGGGGGGGGCTTTGTCCAACCTCCATCCACCAGCAGTTCCCTGAAGGAATTTCTCTCCCCCCAAAGGATAACGGCCTCCGGAAACGTCTCCACGGGGTCAGGGCACAGCGGTGACACCGCGGGGAGGGCACTGGCATCATGGAAACTCCCGGAACAGCCGGCACAGGAAGGAGCAGGGGGGTCACCCCTCTGCATGTGCCACCCTGAGCACCCCAACATCCCATCAATCCCCTCCCCAGGGATGTGGGACCCCCTTCCTGGTGCCCTCACAGGGGGATCTCTCCCCCTTCACCCCCAGAAGAGGTGCCTCAGCCTCAGCACTGACACGTTATGGATTTTTGGGGTGCGGGGGAGCATCAATTTTCCATCTGCCAAGATGAAAAGCAGCCACACAGGTCTCCTATTGCCACACAGCGCTTGCAAGATTTAACCCTAAAGCAATGACAACCAGCATTTACTAATTCTATCCCCAAAAGCCCAACCTGCCTCCTCCAAAGGCCTCCAGGCCATACCCAGCACTGCTAATGAGATGCCTCTCTCCCTGACGCAGCCAGCAGAGGAAACTCCAGAGGTTTGAGGGGGAATCCAATCAATCCTGCTATTCAAAACTTGAGGGGAGAGGGGAAAATAACCCCCTATCAATCACTAAATTCACTTAGGTGCAAGGCAGGGAGGAAGGGAGGAATTCTCAGGCTGTGGCAGGGGGAGGAGGAGGATCTGGGTTGTTTAATGGGATGCTCCATATCCTGCATCATGGATGCTCCATGTCCTCCATCACCTGTGAACCCCAGGAGACCACAGGATTCCTCAGCCTCTCCCTTCACACATTCCCCTGAACACAAGGGCTTTCCTCCACAACCCAAAATCCAGGGATGCTGCCTCCCACCACCCTGGCTGCGTTAGGACACGGACAAAACCCAGCCAGCGGGTTCATAACTATCCAAATAAAATCAAATACAAAGAGGCATCTGGATCCTTT